TTTACAGTTTTAAATGCAGTATGATATCTGGTGTTTTTATTTCATAGTTTCGTGTGCATGTATCACTGTTTCATTGATTATGGACCGAATGACTGAGAATCCGATGTTGTGTGTTGTCTTGTTGGCATGAACTACTGGTTTGCATGTTTGTGTGTGACTTGATGATGGTGACTAAAGAAAAAGGGATAAAAGGTTATGTGAATTGGCAAACGGATAATGTGGACAGCTTGACTAGGTATCCTGAGAGATGGTGGACGGACCGGGTCCGTAGGGAACCCTACCGGGAATGTGATCTCTTATACCGGACGGGGTATGGAGACCTTATGTGTTTTGGCGCCCATACCAGACGGGGTATGGGGACGGCCCGTTTCACCCTCATACCGGACGAGGTATTGAGGTTCATGGTTTTGGCGCCCATACCGGACGGGGTATGGGGACGGCCCTAGAATCAGGTTATAAATATTAAGGGTTCACGGGTAGCGGGACCCCTATGGACCCCCATGGATACTAGTAGGCTGGTAAAGAGAAATTATGCTGTTTAAAGATTGAAATGCAAACGTGTGATAAATGTTGTATTATAAAGTCTATGTGATAACGTGATGATGATAATGTGTTGCTTGTGTATTGTTTTATGGATCTCACCCAGGTAAATGGAAAGTAAACGTTTTTATGAACAAATGGGTTTATTACAAATTATGCTCCATTGGTCGTTTTTGTTTTCTACCCACCCTTACTCCTGTGGCAGTGAGGTAGAGTGATGTCTTTACTGGGTTAGTGTAGCTCACTCCTTACTTAACCATTTCAGATCAGGAAGACGTGGTTCCCGAGCCCGTTCCGCAGGAAGACGGCGAAGGGGACGCCTAAAGATCCCATAGTTATAATTGTAGTTCTTACTTTCGAGCATTTATTTTAATTAGTTTATTCCCTCATTTGTTGAACACGTTTTGGTATTGCGTAAGGGATATTAATTGCAATGTTTAATACGCTTCCGCAAATTCAGATTATTTATCTATATATATGCCTTTCCAATATTAAATTTTTCCGGGGCTGTTACACATCAAATATATTCTAACTATGAGAAAGTTTTTTACTTCATCATGGACCTGTTAAATATATTCTAAGAACTTCTGAGCCTTCTCTAGATCATTCTTATCTTGCATTTTCTTTGATGTTGACTTAAGTGT